GGAAACCATATTAAGTCAACCTCTTCAGAAAGACTTTAGAAATCTATAAACATGGAGAGAGATCCAAGATGGCTGATCACTAGCAGCTCGGGATTGTAGCTCCCACTGAAAGAGCAGAGAACGAGAGGACGCCACACTTTCAGATCAATTTTTGTTGCTCACGCACCAGGAGATTCTCAGCGGAGGAGCCCCACGTGTTGCCAGCGCGACTCTTGAGGCCTGTGAGGCAGTTTTACCGCTGCCTTGGAGCGGCGGTTCTTGGTGCAGAGTCAGAAAAGCATCATCAACCTTAAAGCCGCTGTTTTGGCCGGTGCAGTGGGTTGCTCAGATTCTAGCGCCAAGAATCAACAAGTTGGACGTTCATTCAGAAACCCAACTATAAAGACAGTAATTATAAAGACCACAGACGGATAAATTTATAACGAAGGGAAGAAACCAGCCTAAAAAGGCTGAGAATACCCAAAATCAGAATGCCTCTCCCTCTACAGGGGATCACAGTTCCTCATCAGCAACAGAACAAGGCCTGATGGAGAAAGACTGTGTTCCATTAGCAGAAGCAGGCTTTAAAAAGTGGATGATAAGAAACTTCTGGGAATTAAAAGAACTTGTTTTAACCCAATGCAAAGAAACTAAGAACTTTGAAAAATGGTTTGACGAAATGTTAAAAATAACACACTATTTAGGGAGGAATATAAGTGAATTAATGGAGCTGAAAAATACAACACGAGAACGTCGCGAACTATGCACAAGTTTTAACAGCCGAATTGATCAAGCAGAAGAAAAGATATCAGAGGTCGAAGACCAACTTCATGAAATAAAACAAAAAGACAAGATTAGAGAAAAAAGGATAAAAAAGAACGAGCAAAGTCTCCAAGAAATATGGGACTATGTGAAAAGACCTAATCTACGTTTGATAGGTGTACCCGAATGTGACGAAGAGAATCGATCCAAGCTGGAAAATACGCTTCAGGATATTATTCAGGAAAACGTTCCCAACCTAGCAAGGCAGGACAATATTCAACTCCAGGTAATACAGAGAACACCACAAAGATATTCCTCAAGAAGACCAACCTCAAGGCACATAATCGCCAGATTCACCAGGGTTGAAATGAAAGAGAAAATACTGAGGGCAGCCAGAGAGAAAGGTCAGGTTACCCATAAAGGGAAGCCCATCGGACTCACAGCAGATCTCTCAGCAGAAACCCTACAAGGCAGAAGAGAGTGGGGGCCAATATTCAACATCCTTAAAGAAAAGAACTTTCAACCCAGAATTTTACATCCAGCCAAACTAAGCTTCATAAGCGAAGGAAAAATAAAATCTTTTGTGAACAAGCAACCACTCAGAGATTTCATCACCACCAGGCCTGCTTTACAAGGGCTTCTGAAAGAACCACTACAAATAGAAAGGGACAACCAGTATCAGCCTTTCTAAAAAATGCCAAAAAATAAAGAACATCAACATAATTAAGAAATTGCATCAACTAATGGGCAAAACAGCCAGCTAACATTAAATGACAGTATCAAACTCACATATATTGTTATTAATTACTAAATCCCCCAATCCAAAGACACAGACAGGCAAAAAAAGCCAAGACCCATTGGTATGCTACATCCAGATCCATCTCACATGCAAGGATACACAAAGACTCAAAACAAAGGGATAGAGAAAAATTTACCAACCAAATGGAGAGCAAAAATAAATAAATAGAAAGCAGGAGTTGCAATTTTTGCTGATAAAATAGACTTCAAAGCAACAAAGATCAAAAGAAGCAAAGAAGGATATTACATAAAGATAAAAGGATCAATGTAACAAGAAGAGCTAAAGATCCTAAATATATACGCACCCAATACAGAAATACCCAGATATATAAGACTTATAAAGAGACTTGGACTCCCACACAATAATAGTGGGAGACTATTAGATCAATGAGACAGAAAGTTAACATCAATATTCAGGACTTGAACTCAGATCCGGAACAAGTAGACTTAATTAACATTCATAGAACTCTCCACTTTAAATACACAAAATATACACTCTTATCAGTACTACATCACACGTATTTACAGGTTTAAATGAAATATTGGTTGGCTGCTTGTTAATTATTTTCTTTCCTCATTTTTTTTATGTTTCTATTATTAAACACAATTACAGGCATACCCATTTTTAGACTGCATTCTAGCCCGGGCAATAAAGCAACATCCCTGTTCTCTCTCCCTCTTCCTCTTCCTCTTTCTTCCTTTACTTTATTCTTTTTTTTTTCTTTTTCTTTTTATTCTTTTTCTTTCTTTCTTTCTTCCTCAAAAAAAAAAAAGAAATCTATAAACATAACTGGATTTAGTGCATACTAATTTCTACCATTTTCAGCATTTTCCTTATATACAACATCATCTATTAAATTCAAGATGCCTCTACAAAAACTTCACATAGCTAAATGGATTTTAAGTTATTATTGCTATTATTCACTTTATTAGCTATTTATTGAGCGCTTACTACATGCCAAGCATATTGCTAAGAACCACACAAATTATCTCATTTCATCCTCATAAAAATATTATGAAATAGATTCTATCATTACTGCATTTAACGAATAAGAGAACTGGGGCTCAGAGAGATGAAGTCATGCATCCAAAGTCATGCAGCTAATAACAGATCAAGCAGAGGCATGTTCCCAACCCTCTCTGCTGCTGCGGTTCTGGCTCCTACGCACTGCAGACACTGCCCCTCATTGGTGTCCACTGGAAGGATACACTTGCTCAGAATCTCCCATGTTTCCAACCTTATTATCATATTGAACTCCATGAAACTTCCCTTTTTGTAGATCAAAACTGGTCAAATGGTTTGACCTCATACAATGAACATTAGATATTAATATCTGCAGATTTTTTTACCAATGTATTATTTTATTTTTGTTTTGTATAACACATTTAGTAAATGACTGCTGAAATAATTATTACAAACTACAATGTAACCAGCAGGACATAAACACCAGTCAGCCCTTTAAATACATCCCCAGTTCTGATCTCAGACCGTCTTGATATTGATTATATGAGAGACACATTGGAAAAATGTGACCCGGAATTCTCTCCCTTAAGAAAATCATTTCCAGATTGGCATGTGAAACAGCTATGGATAACGACTGGTTTCTGCAAATCTGCAATGGGTTACTGGCACCGTAACTTTATTTCCTTTAAAAAGCAAACAACAAGACTAAATAACTCCAAGGAAAAAAAGAATAAAATAAAATAAACGCTATTTTTATTCACCACTGCTCCCTCAGGCAAGAGATTGGAAACCAGGGCGCACCTGTGATTCACCCTCCTCCTTTTCACCTTCATTGATCCCTGTGTCTTTCCTTCCTGTCTTGGAGGGAAAAACATGTCCTGCTTCTAGAGGAACTCGCCCTCCCATGCGTGCTCCTTATCCGGCCAGCCGGCCAGCCGCTGTCACTGCCTCTGGAAACTCCTTCCCCTCTGTCCGCACCCTCAACTGCTCCCTCCTTCCTGGCTTTGCTCTCAGCTCTCAGCACACAAACATATTCAGGGAATCCCCTGTATCACACACATACAAACACACAACCACTTCCTTAAACTCTTTCCTTCTTTCTCTTCTCTTCCCTGCTGAAAGGATTCACTAAGTGATATTTTCTGCCTATGTGTCCTCACCCCTAGACCCCCTGCTCACTCATCATCCCAAAGGACCCTGGCTCTTGCTCTCTCCACTCCAGAATCACTCTCAGAAATGTCACCAACAGCCTCCTGGTTACTGGGCTCACAGTTCCTCCTCTTGTTCTCTCCCTAGCTTGCCTTAATGTTGTCTCTTCCCTGACCCAACACTGTCCCTGGGATTCACTAATAGTAAACTTCACCAGCTGTCTTCCACACCTCTGACTGTTTTCCAGGCCACTCTTCTCTCTGTCTTATTTGCAGGTTCCTTCTTTGGCCCTTGTTTCTAAGGGTTTTCCACTTTTTTCTTATTGTTCCCTCTATTCTCTCCCTCTCTCTCCAATATACCTTGGGATGCTCCACTTCGAATTAGCTTTTCTTCCCTCAAACCCACTTCCTTTTGTTCCCAATTTAGATCCATGCCAACTCCCAGCAGAAACCAGCAGTCATTTTGACCTCCTTCCTGCAACTCCCTCTACAGCCTCATCTCTTAGCACTCCTCCTGTGCAGCCAGGCGGCCCATCTAACCACACCACAGTTCTCCCTCGAGAATGGCCCACAGCTTTGATATCCTTATACAATGGTGTCCACTCAAGTGCCACATACTTTGTGAGGCTTTCCCTCATCTTCCTAAGAATACTCATTTCCTCCCCGATGTTCCCAAAGCACTTTGTGTACGCCAGTGACGCAGCGTTTACCATCCCGGCACCTCTGGTACCTTTGAACAGTGCCACCCCACTTCATTTCTGTTTCTGTCTTCATCAATCCTTGAAGAAAGGGGCTGTCTTGCATTCCCCCCCACGTCCTAGCTCACAGTGCGTCTCCAAAGACGTCCGCTTTGTTGAACTAATCCAACTGTCTGGTAAGGTTTATATAGAATCATCATTAGAAATAAGGCTTATATTAAGTCATTTTTGAGTCCTCTTGCACACTAATCATTCATTATGTAAGACCACAAAACAAAACTCGAGGTGATTAATATGACACTATTTTTTTCTTCCTGAAATAAGTGTTTTCACAAAATAAAACCCTTTAAAGTTCTCATCCACTGAAAGTTACCTGCACTGAACAAATAAAAGACATTCTCTTGAGAACACCAGTTTCCCAAGTCAGCCAATTGCTTACTGTTGCTTTCTTGACTCCTCCTTTAAAAGTCCAAAATGACAAATTATCTCACAGGTCCCTGAGCAAATACTTCATTGCTTTCTGAAATGTCAGTGCTGTGTCTATTCCTACTTAGGTTTGCCTCGTTCTAAACCAACGGAAATATCTCTTCCTGCCAGCTGACATTTTGTTTTATAAAATTCTTTTTATCCTTTCTTATTTTCCAGAATATAATTTCTTTGATGAGCCTCTCCTTATTTCTAAACTTTGGGGAATTAAACTCTCTGTAATTTCATTATCCCATTGAAAGGCAGGAAGAAGCAGCTAAGCTCCAAAGAAGATGGCAATAAAAGTGAAAACTGGAGAAACCAGAGCCAAAGACATTTCCACAGGTAATATTTACTAAATGGCATCAAATACTAACGTAATAAGAAAGTAGGTTATCGATTAAAGACCTTATTATCTGACATCAATGCTCATCAGAGCCCTGCAGGGTAAATGTCATTATCCTTGTTTAACAGATCAATAAATGGAAGTTCAGAGAGGTTTGGTGATTGCCCAAGGTCACCCAGATGATAAATGCAAGCCCCTGCCACATGCTGGAGCAACCTGAAACAATTTTCTGAGGTAAAAACTGAACAGTCTGAAGGTGCTCCCTCAGCTCATGACATGTGGTTCTTAGCCAGGCACCATTATTCCCATAAGACAATGTCAATCCTATACTCTGCCTTCATTTATGCGAGACACTGTGCTATAAGCTCTTAATATATTTTCTAATGTAATTACTGAGTGAGCTATGAATAGCCAGTATGATTTATCAAGTTATTTAATGAGTGGTGAATGGGGCAGTAATATCCTTACAGAGAAGGAAACAAAACTCAGGATCTGAAGTCAAGAAATAAACCCAAAGTCTCAAAGTTAGGGGAGCTGATGAACCAATCCTGTTCCCCACAGAAAGCCCACGTCCTCAAAATCAACCCTGCTGCGTTCTTTGACTGTCATGGTGGCCGACACTGCCCTAAGTCAGCAGGATCTTGCCTAAGAATATCACCAGAAACTCAGCTCTACCATTCTGAAACTTGGTGGCAATTTGGTGGTATACTGTTAGCCTTATAGGTGTTGTAAAACATATCCTTTGATCATACAGCTAATTAGCCACCTAATCATACAGCTGCGTACCTTTCACTCTCTGAATTTCTCCTAGAAATGCCTTCCCACACTAAACCACATCTGAGTTTTCAGTATTCTCAGTGTTTCTTATTTGCACTGTAGGAAGCAGGAGGATGCCACGGTAAACCACCTAAGCTAGGAAATCGGACTGCTGAGTTTCAGTCCCAGGCCCGCCATTTGCTAAAGGACTTGAGTGAGTCTGCCTTTATGTTGTGTCTCAGTTTACTCACCTATAGAATGGGGACAATTACTCTATCTTTTTCAAAGGGCTTCTATGACTCTTTACTGAATTAATACCTGTAAAGTGCTTAAAATTATCCCAGCTACATGGTAAAACTCAATAGATATTAGCTAGATATTTTATAGATTGTTAGATGACTATATTGTGAGAAGAGAGAAAGACAATGAAAATCATGAAGGTGTAGCTTCCTTGAAGCTAAAGGGAGAGCATGTTTCAAAGTGGGAGAAATCACCTGCCTCAGACTCAAAAGTCATTGAAAAAGTGACCTTTGGGTTTGGCTAAAAGAAGGTCTTAAATGAGCTTTCAAAAAATGTTTCGTAACTCTGTGACTTATTTACCAAACAATGTCACATGTTTATGATTCCTTCCTATTTACTCAGAGAAAAATTTTTGGAAAATTAAATGCAATCCAAAATTTCATATACTTTGACAGAAAAGCAGTGTGATAAATTGCAGATCAAGATAAACTAATTGTGCTTAAGATGTTGGCCATGAGAGCTAGGAGTGGTTGGTATATACTGAAACATTGTTTCTATTATCAGGTTTTCATTATTTAAAATGCCTGCCATTCTTAGTCTTTTTTGAAAAAAAAATCTTTAATCTTTTTTAAGGGAAAACTCACCAGAATAGCATGGACATGAATTTTCATTGTATAAATTATCCCAATCAAAACTTGTATTAACCTCTGATGCCTTACTCCTACCCTAGTGCTGAATCTAGGGCTAATTAACACCTATTTAAGCATTCAGCTTTTGCCCTAGAGGCCAAGATAAATTTGTCCACAAGGCAAGAATATATTTGCCCAAAAGTAAATCTCAATGAGAAAATAATTACTTTTTTGTTATTTTATGTAGAATTTTGTTGTAAAACTATAGCAAAAAAATTTTAAAGAATGTAGAAAAAGGAAATAAAATCATGACACCACCTCTCTTAGGTAATCACTACCATTATTTAGGCTTTTAAGGCTTTTTCCATGCATATTTTTATAAAACTTTAATTATGGCATACATATAATGTTATATTGTATTTCTCAACACAACTATAAGCATTTTTCAAGTTGGTACATGGTCGTACATGTATTGTAATACATGTGTGTTAACTGAACAATATATAACTGAATGATTAACTTAATCATTTCCATAGTGGTGAGCATTAATACTGCTTCTATCTGATCTACATAATTTTTAATAACATTGTGATGTACACTTCATTGCAAATACACGTTTCTACATTTATATTATTCTCTTAGGTTTAATTTCCAAAGATAGAATTGGGGGTCTGCAAGTATAAATGTTTATGTTGTTCTTGCATATTCCCAAACTGTCTCTAAAAGTATTGCACAAATTTCACTGCCACCAATATTCTAGGTGAGTAATCAACATTACTAGATCCTGACTCTATGTTAAAAAGTTTTCCTATTATAATAGGCTAGAAAGAAAAAAATGCTTCCTTTATTACAGAGAATGGTTATTTCTCGTGCTGATTTTACACTTTTCCTTTGTGAGTCATCTATTCGTTATATTTATCTGTTCATCTATTAAAGCTGCTTTTTTATTGATTTGTAAGAGGCCATCTCTTTTACTTATAAAATCATTTAATACTAAGAGTAAGAATATTAGAGTGATTCTTGACATTTTACTGATATTACACTAAGCTGAATAGTGAAATCACCATCATTAATAGATGAAAATTAAAATATTGTAGAAGCACTTCACCATTAAGTTCTGACATTAATTGAGGGACAATTTGGAGGCTTTAAAAGTCTTCACTTTTCCTGAAACTTACCTATCTGTTATAATTACAGTTATCTTTTGAAATTAAAAGCTTTATTTAAATACAGCATGCCAGCCAATTAAAGATAAATTAATTATCTTATTCCCTATCTCTCCCTTGACCTTTTAAAGCACTGTTGAAACAGTTCAATGAATGCAAGTAAAACTGATGAGTCTGCCACTCTAAAACTGATGCTTCCACTAAATCTCAAATTATGTGATATTACTTAATATTAACAATATTATTAATATTAACAATATTAACATTATTATTAATCACCTCATTTCACTGAAAAATCACTAAGTGCCAGATACTGTACTAAATGTTTTATACAAAATATCTCATTTTGATGCTATCTCACACCAGAACGGCAATCATTAAAAAACCAGGAGACAACAGATTCTGGAGAGGATGTGAAGGAAATGGCAATGCTTTTACACTGCCAGTGGGAGTGTAAATTAGTTCAACCATTGTGGAAGACAGTGTGGCAATTCCTCAAGTATCTAGAACTAGAAATACCATTTGACCCAGCAATCCCATTACTGGGTATATACCCAAAGGATTATAAATCATTCTACTATAAAGGCACATGTTACACGTATATTTATTGCAGCACTGTTCACAAAAGCAAAGACCTGGAACCAACCCAAATGCCCATCAAAGATAGACTGGATAAAGAAAATGTGGCACATATACACCATGGAATAATATGCAGCAATAAAAAAGGATGAGTTCATGTCCTTTGCAGGGACCTGGATAAAGTTGGAAACCATTATTCTCAGCCAACTAACACAAGAACAGAAAACCAAACACTGCATGTTCTCAATCATAAGTGGGAGTTGAACAATGAGAACATATAGACACAGGGAGGGGAACACCACACACTGGCGCCAGTCGGGGGATGGGAGGCTAGGGGAGAGATGGCAGGGGATGGGGGCATAGGGGAGGGATAGCATTAGGAGAAATACCTAATGTAGGTGATGGGGTGATGGATGCAGCAAACCACCTTGGCATGTGTACACCCATGTAACACACTCGCACGTTCTGCACATGTACCCCAGAACTTAAAGTATAATAATAATTTTTAAAATCTCATTTTATTCTCACAACAAACCACTCAGATAGGTATTAGCTTTCCCACATTACAACTGAGAAAACATGCATCTATAATGGCTAACCACCTGGGCAAAGCTAGCAACAGGACAGAATAAAAACCCAGGGCCTGTGTCCCTCATCGCTAAGCATCTGGCCTTGTATTAATGCACTGTGTACTAATACTGATTTCAAGAAATTTAGAAAACGACGTTTTAGCAAGTGGATTTAGTATATATTCTGACTGGAAATTCCTCAACTGATACCTCCATTAATAAAGGCTGACATCACTGATTACATTTTTGAAGTTTAGCCTATGTACTTTAATTTGAAACATAATTTTTCATACTGGTAGTTTTAACAGAAGAAATGACATTTAGGAAGATAATATAAAATTCTCAAGTTAAATACTTTGCTCACTTTTGTGATATTTGCATACAGAACTTGAGCTTGATTCAGATAAACTATGTGTCCTGGAAATTGATCCAATGGTCACATCTAACCATTTTCAAAGGAGCAACAATCTAACCTTTCATATAGCAAGGATGGAATCGGGTAGAATAAGTAAAAGAACCCTGGCACAGAGGGAGAAGAGACACCAAGGTTTCATTCCCTATAGCAGCTGCATAATTCTTCCCCCAGAAAATATCCCCAGCATTGCACAAATTTAACAGGCTGTTTCTCATATTCAGTTATCTGCACTCTGATTCCTGTGGACTGAGCTCGTGCTTCTGAACTCTACATCACTCTCTTGTGTGCTCTAATCAGTAACAACTCAATGCCTGTAATGAGGGCTCACAGATTCAAGGCAGCATCCTAGGCCACTGTGGGGAATGTTAAGATGGACAAGACACACACACTGCCTTCAAGGGCTTTACAATTTAGGGGTTGGAGGTGTAGGCATGTGTGTCCACATGCTCAGGTGTGCACCTGGGAGTTCAAATAAAGGTGAGAGAGCATCTAAATGAAGGAACTGGTGAAAGCTCTGGTAGGAGATGGTATTTCAGGTGACACTGAAGAGTGGCTGCTAATGTAATAGGTGCGAAGGGGAAACAGGGAGGCATTTCAATGAATGCAACCAGCATGCATTAAACTAAGGATACAGAAAAGTGTACAGCTTTTCTGGAAAATCATAAGCAGCTGGGCTACATTAGAGCACAGAATTTGTGTATGATAATTGTGAGAACTAAGACTAGATAAAAAGAAAAGAGTCAAGTCATGGATGACCTTGACTGCCAAAGAAAGAAGTAAGCTTTAGAAATTTCATTCAGAGAAGCCATTGGAGGTTTTAGAGAAAGGGAACAATAAGATCAGAAATGCACCTTAGAAATGGAATGGATTGCATAGGGAATCGTAGAGAAGCATATAAAACAGACTACTGATAGGAAGTATTTTAAAAAAGAGGAACGGGGCCAATTGGAAATATACTTTAATATCTCAACTAGAAACAGTCTCAAGTAGGGAGTGGCAATAATAGCAAAGGGGACCTTTGAGAAATGTTGTATCCCAGAAAAACTCAATAATGTGGGACTCCCTGGATACAGGGGAAAAGGAAGAGTCAACATTACTTTGTATCTTGAGACACAGAAAAGAAAATATTCATGAGCAGATTCTTTTCAACACAAATTATTGGATAAATTTGAAATACGGGGATCACTATGGGGTGATTTGTGTCCCCCACCCCAAAAAAATGTGTTGAAGTCTTAACCTCTAGTATCTCGGAATGCAACCTTACTTAGAAATAAGGTGGATTTGCAGATGTAAATAGTTAAAACAAGGTTATGCTGAATTAGGCCTTTAATCCACTATGAGAGGTATCCTCATAAGAAGAGAGAGGCACCCAGGGGAGAGGGTGCCATATGGAGACACAGAAAAACAGTCAATTATAATCTCTCCACCAAAGGATAACCACTATTGACAATGCATTTATCCATTTAGACATCATGGTATGATTTTTCTTTTTTAATGGAACTTGTATTGCTTGTACTATTTTTGTATCCAGATGGTCTTTTTTTTTTTTAAGACAGAGTCTTGCTCTGTCACCCAGGCTGGAGTGCAGTGGTACAATCTCAGCTCACTGCAACCTCTGCCTCCCAGGTTCAAGTGATTCTCCAGCCTCAGCCTCTCAAGCAGCTATGATTACAGGTGTACGTTACCACCCCCAGCTAATTTTTGTATTTTTAGTAGGGTTGGGGTTTCACCATGTTCGCCAGGCTGATCTCAAACTCCTGACCTCAGGTGATCTGCCCACCTTGGACTCCCAAAGTGCTGGGATTATAGGCATAAGCCACCATGCCCAGCCTGTATCCAGGAAGTCTTTATTTAGTGGACTGGGTACCATTATGTCACATGGATGTCCCACAACCAATTTCCTATTGATGGGCCTATGAAGCATCTCCTTAGAAATGTCTTCAAACAACCTACATGACAAAAGGAAAAGTAATAGACTTGCTGTCCGCATGTCCTCACTCAAGTTCCCCCTAATAATATAGACATGTTTTTTCACATTATATATTATGTTATACATTATATGCAGGTATGTAGTTTAGTATATTTAGATCTTTTACTTAGGTTCTTTATCAAAAACTTTCTTCATATTCAAAATACAGCATATAATCAGAGTGCCCAAGAGGGTCCTTCATGGACATCTATTCTAGGGTAACCCAGGAACCAGAAAATTGAGGCATCCTGCTCAAAGTCACAGGGGACCCACTGGGACAGGAATCCAGTCTCATTTCCAATGCTATTATTGCTTGATGTGCTGTCATAAAAATGATATAAGAACCATTTTAAAAATAGGTGTAGATCTTCCTCTTGAGCTCTGTGGTAAAATGTAGACCTTAACTGGAAATCTATCTCGGTTTAACTATTTTTTAAAACTGTAAACATTCTATCAATATTCTACTGATAGTGAAAAGAGACAGACAAATTCCTAGGCAGACAGGGACAGGTCTCTGGTGAAGCCCAACCTTCAATCCAAAGACATTCTAAAGCCTGAAAACCAAGCTGCCAGTTTCCAGTAGAGTCCACTACCAGAGTGAGAACTTCTATCCCTGTCTTACCCACTCTCTTTCAGTTGGTTCCTTCTGGATGATGCCTTTTAAGCAATCGAATGGTGCTTTTTCCAAGACCACCCGTGGACCAATTAGTACACACTCCCCCATTCTAAGCCCATAAAAAGCCCAGACTCAGCCTCACAGAGGGCTACCCACTTTCAGGGTTCCCTCTTGCCACTGAGAGCTTTCCTGCATCACTCAATAAAATTCTTCTCTGCCTTATTCTCAGTGTCCCCACACCTTATTTCTCTTGTTGCAGGACAAGAACCTGTAACTCGCCAAGCTGCAGACGGCAGGAACAAAAGAGTTGTAACACTCCTGTTTGCCAAGCTGCAGGTAGCAGGAACAAAAGAGCTGTAACCCACTCATTCACTGAGCTGCAGATGGTAGGAATAAAAGAGCTGTAACCCTTCCTCCTGCTCACCAAACTATGGGAACGAAGAAGCCATAATACTAACACTAGCAGTTTCACTGCAAGTAAAACTGGTTGTCTTCAGATAACTAATTGTCTTCAGATAACATCTTATTCCCTATAGAATTAATTGAGCCGACCTCAGATATCTTAAGAAAAAATATATATTAAATTCCAAATACAGTCATTATTCAGTTGCTAATAAATGACTGTTGTAGTTCTTCATTCCAGGTTCTTCAAATCCTTTGGTTGTAAAATAGAAAGCTGTGCCTTATATTTCTATCATGGACATAAAATTTTCAACTGCCATTATAGGAGACGATTGTGTAAATTTTTTTAACTATGAATTATATTTTCTTTAATTGATCCAAATAAAATGTTTACTTTTTAAAACTAAGCGAGTAGTGCAACATGAATTTATCTTTTGGTTTACTCTCCTCTAATGCCCTGAGTCACTGGCAGCTTTGGGACAAACAACTTGGCTTTTCTCACTTGAGAGAAATCTATACTTCTTATTGTGAATGCTTGTCACTTTAATATGAGGTAAACATTTTCTCCCAAAACAGGAAATGGGAGGTCACACTATTGTGGCTATAAAGAAAAATGAAAAATGCTATAAAAATGAAGGCATTAAAAAAATGATCATGAGCTACTCTCATAATAAAAAATAAACTTTCATTTTGTGTCCTTTGACACACAGCATAATGAAGCAGGCATGAACAGCTCAGAGTGATCTAAAAATCACCAAGTATAGTTTTCTACTGTATCAAAAAGGTGTTATTTTTAGCACCCGAAAGCCCAAATCATCAATAATTGGCATTTTAATGTGAAAGTCATCAAGACCTATTTATTTAAATGATCTTTGATCAATTCCCTGCCAAGTCTAATTTGTTTCCCTGTCCTTCAGCCACATGGTTTCCTATTCCATTTTCTAAATGAGAGACTATATTTTACTATGAAGGCAAAATTTTCTTTAAAGACAACTGAATTTTGTTTTTTGTTTAGAACCAATCCTCTTTTCCTTTGCATCTAATAAAGAGGATGTATTTTCTCAGTCTTGTTTTCTTCTCACACATACATAAGGAATATTCTGTCCCTTAGTGTATTTTACCTTCCAGTCACCATATATTTCCTGGTTTCATCTTTTCATGCCATCATTGATATGCCTTATTTCTGGTTTAATACTTACTCTAATTCCTAATCTTCAGTCTTGGGCATTTTTAATGTGCAGCTCTGTGTAGCTACCTGGGTTTCATCCTGTTCTCTTCAATTTTGCCATCCTTATAAGTATTGTTGCTTTAAGAAATAATCTAATTTTCATGGTCCTCCCACTTGCATGACATTTTCCAATAATATATTTAAATTACTACAGTTGACTCTCCTGAAATTCATTTTCTTTAGGTTGCTTTTCCACTTCTTTAGTAGTCTTTGTGTAAACATCAATCTTTAAGTGCATTTTCTTAATTAACTTACATGTTCACTTAAGAAATAGCTCTACTCTGAAGGTCAAAAGTCAGAAGCAGCTAAATACTAGCACAATCTCACCTCCCTTTTTGCTCTGTCTCTATTTTTGTCTCTCTCCACAGACCCTACTCACTGGTATTTCTGCCTGACCATGTTCAGAATATACTCTCCCACCTTTGAATTAATAGACTGTGATATATAATCTTTCATTACATGTACAGTTTTGTCCGCTATGCACTTAACAGTAAGTCCTCAATGTCATCAGTAGATTCTTGGTAACTGTGACTTTAAGCAAAATGCTGTGTAACAAAACCAATTTTACTATAGGCTAGTTATTATATAAACAAGAGTTAAGTTGCTATGGTATGTTTATGGTCACAAAAACATCACCAAACTTCTAAATAAAGAACCGAAACACTTCTAATATTAAACACTGAATGTGAGCTATATATACATTTAAGAAAGATTAATACAGACAAGGAAGACAATTATTTATCCAATTTTTGGTGGATGAGTGAGTGACAACAGTCACAGTGGTGGTGGCTGAAATCAGTGAACAAATGTTTGCAGTTTGACAATTGTCAGGAACACCTCCTACTACCACACAGTTCAAAGACAATCAATAACACACATATGTAGGCTCGCCGAGTACTTTCATACTGCATTGTTTATTTGTATAATTATTGTATGTTACAAATTTTTGTTTTACAATCATTTGTATTCATTCATTCATTCATTTTCCAAATTGCTTATTCCAGTTAAGGGTGGCAGATGGCAAGAGTCTCTCCTCACAGCTCTGGGGGCAAGGTGGGAACCAGCCCTGGACATGCACCATCTTATCCCATCACAGGGTGCACTCACACTCACTCAGACTGAGACTGTGCAGACATGCCCATTCACTCAATGGGCACAGCTTTGGGCTGTGGAGGGAAACCAGAGTACTTGGAGAAAACTCATGTAGCCAGGGGGTGGGTAACATGCAAATGTGCAAACTCCAAGAAGACAATGGCCCCAGCCAGGAATCAATTTCTTTTTCTCTACAATGTTATAATGAAAAAATACTGAATGAAATAACTTATTGCAGGACCTGCTGTAGAATAATGATTAGTGAGTCTTCAGATTCATTATGACTTCTTATCGTGACAACTAAAACCTGGGAACCTCTGTAAGAGACAATTAATAAGCTGGTCAAAGAGCAAGTTAGCTGCGATTTGAGTGATTTGGGGTAACCTGAAAAATACAGGATAAAATGGGAAAAACACGCAGCCTTAATTTATTAATGAAAGTGCATTTATTACGAATGACACCCACTACAATGATTAATAATTAAGCTAATCCTTTATTATGTGCTCTGCTGATCACGATCAAAAATGACAAAACATGTTTGCTTTGTTTTCAATTAAAATGTGTGGAAGTACAGAAATTTGAGAAAATGAAAGTCTGACTTTTAAAAGGTCCTTCAACCATACTTAATTGCTTTGTTGACTTTTCTTCATCTTTATGCATCTCAATTCCTTATCTGGAAAGTACAATAAACGTTCCTCTGTTGTTGACAATAGATGGTATAACAACCTTCTTTTGCAGCTGAATTCTCCAAGTCAATACTACCTTCCGTCTGATCCGTGGTTCAACTCCATTTGACAGTTCAACACTAGCTAATACAATTGTTTCCTTATTAAATGTACTAACCCCTGTGTTCTCTGAATGTCTTTAAATAAATAACATTAAATAAACCATAAAACACTTGATAAACAATTTTTCCAGAGATGTATTCTCAAAGTGACTATACCTGAGTATGAATTCATTTAAAAAACTGCTTTTGTTCCAGGCTCACATAAGAGTCCCAGGAAACAGGGTCAGGCAGGAATGAGAAGAGGCATCATCTTTATGACATGATTGATAACTATCTTGAATAAATACAAATACCTATTAGGAACCACCCATCAGAAGTTTCTGTTTAATTTCTTTTAACATCAGGGATTTCTAATATATTTAAATATTATTTTTAAAAATAATTTTATTTATAAGCAATTTCAAGATCACATCTAGTCCATAAAGTACATAAGATGAGGTCTTTTAATACATGACTATTTGATAGTGAACACAACCTGAAAAAGAACTTGGATCTCTAGGCTTTCCACTTTTAACCCTCTCAATATTAAGGTTGATCTCCTAATTCTGATGGAAATCACCTATACATTGAATAAAAGTGGCAAGTGTTTTTCTATGAGCTGGGATTGTCAGCTTCATAAAATTATGTTAGTAATGAGTTATTACATTTATGCATCAAAACTTTGGAAACTGAGGAATTGGCTTTTGATATTAAATATGTTCTAGTAAACTATAAAACACACTCAGGTGAAAATTATAAATATGTTCTATTAGATTTTTAACATAAATAATTAATTCTCATAACTCTGCCAAACAGATATTTCACCCTCCTTGAACTGATGAAGAAATACGTCTTGCCAAAGTCATATGGTTAAGCAAGAACAAAGGTAGAATTTGGACCCCACTGTGACTGATTTCAAAGCTTTTCACTATATCATGCTGCCTTTATTTTCAATTAAGTTTAGGATTCCCCCAAGTTAATGAGAAACACACATACCATAAATTAAAATCAACAGTACATTGAAAGCCTGATTTTAACTAACAGCTTTTGGGCAAAACATTTTCCTAATGTTAATAAGAAAAACATTGACTCATCTAACTTGCTTCTTCCATTGCTCCCCCTCTATCATCCAACCCCATTAGGATGCTGCAGAGCTCTGATATGAACAGAAGGTAGACAGTAGCCAGAGAAAGAAGAGAAACAGAGGGCCTGAATGATCTACAAACTGTGTAACCAGCTCCCAGACAATCAAGAGTGAACTTAATTAAATGGTTTGTTTAAAGTGTGTCTAGAAAGGGAAAATAACTCATTTTTAATTAGAACATTCTATTTTCTTTTTTTGGCAAATGGTAATCATTTTAAAAATAAAAATCATCTCAAGTACTTAAATCATAGTATTATTTTTAGATATCTCTGCATTATAAATAATTTAGAATTTCAATTATAATCATTTGCAATAAACTACTTACAAATATTTAAGGTTCTTCTTGAAACTACCTTGTCTGCTTAAAATATATATATTTATATAAACATATATTTTTGTCTGCTTAAGAAAATTATATTTATATATTAGTATATTATGTTTATATATTTTTAACAGACAAGGTAGTTTCAAGAATATATATCAGATAATCTGCCTAAATACAAAATGGTTAAGAGACATTTCTGTATCACTATTTTTACTCAAAGTTTTGTTTTGATCTGTCAAAAAGTTTTGGGGAGCTCCGTGGATTTTAAGAGCTCATTATCTTATTTCATAGTGATATTAGCTTCATTCTGCAATGATAGTGAGGCATTTGATGGCTGCTATCAATAGGATCTGTGTTCATCCACAGAGACACTTCAAATGAAGTGAAAAACATTTGCCGATTACATTATGTTATGATAGTGAATGATTTTAAAAGATGTCAAGTTCTGCTTAAGGAGTTTCATATGAAATAGCATCTACATTAGAGGAAGGTTTGGGGGAGGTAAAGATGTAAGTCATCAGAATTTCATTTATTTTTAAATACAATTAAGCTCTCGGAAAGCACCAGCACTTTAACTCTGAAGTATCTTTTTTTTAAAGACATTACTAAAATATCATATTACTATTTCCTTATTTTTAAATACATCCCTGAAGAAATCAGTTCACTTTAATAAGTGGAAGGATTTATGAAGAAAAAT